CTATTTGATTCGTGCATTATCTACAAGTCAGTCGGGCAAGGGTGAAATTATTTCATTTGAAAACAGAAATAAATATCAGAACCCCTCTAGCATAACTATTCGGAAGAAATTCATACAAAAAATAATGTACACAACTGATGAAGGGTCGCACACAATGCACGCACCCCTCTCCTCCTCCTCCGTGTTTGCCCACACACGACCATATTTGACAATTTTTCTAAAGCGTTTTCCCCGGGAATATAGGTGTAGCGGTTGCCAGAAGTCGCACAGCTTGGGAGTCAGGGTATCCTGATCGGTGACAGGTCATCTCAACCCCAAGTCAACTCAACCCAGTACAACTCAACCCCAAGTCAACTCAACCCCAGTAAAACTCAACCCCGGTAAAACTCAACCCCAAGTCAACTCAACCCTGTAAAACTCAACCCCAGTAAAACTCAACCCCATTCATTTCTGTAATGTCTAGTTCTCTAGTTCATTAACTTTGATAATTTAGCATTTTGCATATTTTAAACAATGCTTTGTTAGAATTAGAATATTTCACAGAGGTATAATAATATTAGACACTGTTTATTTTCATCTTGGATAATGATTCGAGATATATATATTCACAAACAGTTTAACATATTTTAAAATCAAATTTTAGGAAACTAAAATCTTGGCAATTAACAATGTTTTTTTTATAAACGTATTAATGAAATCATTAATGATCAATAGTGTCAACCTGAGAGGCATTACAACAAACAAAACGTATTAGCAAGATTTAAATGGTACCAAGAAGGCGTTGAAATTAGAAGACATGTGGAATATGATTAAATGACTCTTAATTCTTTAGAGCTTAGAGATTGTGCTCATCATTAACTATACAAGGCAGGTCTTAGAATGATAATCAAAAATTGACACAAAATAAAAAAAACTTTTTTTTAATTATAAACAAACATATGAAAATCAACTTAAAATAGATAGGGGTTGAGTTTTACTGGGGTTGAGTTTTACAGGGTTGAGTTGACTTGGGGTTGAGTTTAACAGGGGTTGAGATGACTTGGGGTTGAGTTTTACTAGGGTTGAGTTTTACTGGGTTGAGTTGACTTGGGGTTGAGATGACCATGCCTCAACGCCTGACGGGTCTGATATTTAGAGGGGGCGCAAGAATTATTAGGGGGCGGGGTAAACGTGAAAGTTGTCAAAAATTTCCATAGGCGTAGCCAGGAGGGGGGGGTGCGATGGGTGCGATAACAATAGGCTTTATATATGCTTTAATGTTTTATTGATCATGATGCTTTTATGTAGGCTATTAATTACAGTTCTTTTTGCAATATAAAACTGGTATGTTTATGCAAATTCCGATTGGACTAATATAAACGGATATTGTTTCATTATGTGGACTTGAGAAAGTCCGACATACTCATTGCTTTCAACCCAAAACTTAAAACGGGAAGTTATCAAGATCCCAAGAACACGATCGCTACTTAAACAATACGTTTGTAAAATCCCGGCGATCGAAATGCAATCAAACTTTCGCAATCAGGTGCCTAATTAGTCTTTTGATCTCTAAAGTTTTACGACTGAACGTTTCAATGAACTCGTGAGAAGCAAACGCAATCATCAGATAAACATTTTTTTAGTAAATCTAAAATAGAGTAAAACCCAGGGAAAAAGATCGCGTGTTCATAGGAATTAGGCATATTTCGATTTTGAAATAACAAAAGTCAGTCTCGGAAGAATTTTCCAAGCATTCCCTGCTTTGATGCGTTTTATTGCAAGGGCCGTTTAGCGCCGATATGAATTCATTATAGGGTATTAGGGTTGTGGTTTATTTGTTTTATTTATATAAATGTTATAAAATGTGTACGACACTTTAATGAATTATTTTTAGGGTTACAATGCATATTTGACTTTTCCCTCTAAACGTTTAAAATTCATCTTTATACTTTTCTTAGTTTGCTTCAATAAAATTGACATTGGATCCCAGACAGTTATCAAATTCTCAGACATTTGATTAATATAGATATTTGTACTTCCTTTGACCAGTGGTGCTGGTGTGACTGAGATTCGAATCTAATCGGTTTCATTTTTAATGTAAATTGAGAGGAATAAAGTTTTATTTTAAGCGTTTTAACCATCTTAACGTTTGGCGTGCAGCGCAACTTAATACACAATCAAAGGTCAGAATACAGAAATAAGAACATGCCTTTTATTTGTTATTCAAGCTCGAGCAATATTCCCGTTATAAAACCAAAATAACTGCGGTTAGGTACCATATCTTGATTGCAGTAAAGACAGGCCATCTCATTCTGGTATGCCAGAGCGACTCTTATCTGCCGATTGTCGAAGGATAAAGACAAAGGGGTCGCGGCTATCGCGATGAGGCCATCTTATTTCTAGGAATTATTTCTGCCTCTCATTCCTTAAACCGGCTTCGTTAAACAGTGCCAAAATATATAAGTCGGAGCCAAAAACAAGACTATTTTTATATTTAAATCCCCTCACCTTGTCAATGTCTATGCCTGCATCTGGTTTTCCCACCTTTGGGAGGGAGCCAATATACACATAGATTACTTACTGGCCATTGACAGGGGGGGGGCACAGAAACGAACATTCTGGGGTCATAAGGGATACTTGGGGAAGGGGGAGGGGTGGTGGTGAATAGTGAAGTCCGGGAGTGGAGTTAGGGGTACTGAAATCTTTCTTTTCATATTAAGTGCTTGAATGGAGACTTGTTTCCACTCCGCGCATTCTAGTAGAATTTAAATATTTGATCCAAAGGAGTTATTTTAAATCAAACTTGCATTCCGATTAATTAACACTCCCATGATTGTACCGTTTCACTATTTTCTAAGATAATTATAATGAATTCACGGGACACTATAGTCTTCCTTTTAAACTTTAGTGGTTGGATGGAGACTTGTTCTCCACCCCGTACACTAGTAAATTTGTAAATTTTAAATATTTGATTTAGGGAGGTATTTGCAATCCAACTCTGACGATACAAGACTAGTCAGCCAAGACTAAATTATGAACTTATTATCATTTAGACTATTGAGTTCATTAAATTATAATTCCATAGATATCATATTTAATCCTGTCAACACAATAATGGTATTAATTGGCATGATATGTAGTCAGAGACGGTTTAAAAAGTTGTTTAGTATAGATAGTATTAGGAAAAATCCTAACTCAAAGTTTTTGTTCTCTCGCAATCCAGAGCAAACCACTCGCCGGGCAAGCATTCTTTAAAAACGTGAAGTTTTCACCATGTTAAGCAGTTTTGAAAATTGTCCAATTTGAACCATCGCCTTGTATATTTCTGTAACTGCCCCCCCCCTTGACACTCGAGTGTAAGAATCCTTTCCACACTGTCAATGGTTTTACAAAATAGTTCATGTTAGGAAGGGGGAGGGGTGAGTGTGGAGAACAATCACTGACTGCGATTTGTATGATTGAACATTATACACTTATCATAAATTCGTAAAGAATAGTTTTAAAATAAACAGCTTGTTATATGTTATGATTGGAGTGATGTATGCATAGAAGAATGACACTGGTTTTGAAATATCTTAATTATCCCATTGAATGAAGCCATCCGTCCCTCTGTCCATTCTTAACTCATACTAGTGGACTGATTTGATTTAAAGGAGAAGTCTCGGTGTAGAACGTGTACACACTAATGGGAACGAATTTTACTCATTTCTATTTAGGATTCATTAATATATTAGCGGGGCTTTAGAGCATTTACAAACGCATGAATTGTATTGTTTTAAGGCAACTTTTATGACATATAATGTATTTAAAGCTGATTAATTTTAGATTATATTCGGTTCAATTTTACAAATAATGAATAGTATTACAGTATATCGAAAAATATACAATGATTTACATTAAATTGCTCAGACTGCAAACAATGTACATGGTTGGCGAATTTGCATGCGCGTTCTTGATAATAAGAATTAAAGATTGAACTTAAAAATCAAACATTTTCTTTTTTAAACATAATAAACAGGGGCGTAGCCAGCTTTCAGTCAGGGGGGGTGCGATCGCCGAAAATTTTTCAGTTTTCGGTCAGGGGGGGGTGCGATTTTGCCATAAGCAACACAAAAAATTAAGATTTCTTTTGAATTTTACAAAAATTGATGCAACTTCCTTCAAAATTGAGCTAGAAGCTTCAAATAAAAAGCATTTTAAAGCTCTTTTCTACCTCTATCCAATGGTCATATTTTCAAAGGTTATGGGGGGGGGTGCGATCGCACCCATCGCACCCCCCCTGGCTACGCCCATGATAAATCTTTAAATCAAGAAAATAAAAATAAGATTGATGATTGAGCTTTTCATAGTCAACTGCGACTGTGTCGACGCATGTTTATTTACTTAGCTAATTAGATATGTAAAATTGTTAATGGCCGCAACGGATAATACGTACATGTAAGCTGTTCGGATAAGACATTTCTATATGATTAATAACAAATCCCGGGCAGAATGTTATTCAACAGTAACTGATCTTATTAGTTATTATTCAATTTGGATAATAAATCTATTATCTCGTTGTATTGATGTTTATTATATAGTGTTTCTCGTTGTGAAATATATAGAACACCTAAAATAAACATCTTGAGAAAATAAGAATTTAGAAGAATGCTTTGAATGTAACAAAATATGGTGGCATTTCCAAAGTATAAAACCATTAAGAAAGAAAACATCATAATTTTGACTGCTCTTGGTACCCTCAACATGGGTTACCATAGAACGCAGAATATTAAATGTTACGTGGTGATATTTACCTTGTGTATGTATAATTATTAAATTTATATTCTGTGAGAAAATTAGCTAGATTCATTAATGTTTACAAAATTTAGAGCATTTTTGATCGCCCTGTATGTGAATAATCAATGCAGAGCTATCTACAACATGCAGAATATTACAATGTACATGGCTGAAGTAAATAGAAAATGGTAAAAAAAACGAAAACACTTTTCACCATGCACAGAGATATCAACCAATAAACCAACCTTGATATTTGGATCGTAAAATTCTACAGGGCCCAAGTCTCTATTGGTGTTCTTGTGGGTCTTCAAATAACCATCTGTTTCCCTCTGGGGCTGGCCAGCTCCCTTACCCCATGGGTCAAACATCCCACCCTGTAACTACATAAGGCAATAAGCATGCTAAAACAGACTGTCATCTAAAGATACCTAAAATAATTCAAATTCTAGAATTTGAAATAACACTGTTTTCTCCATAACCTGGATATATTTATCTTTCAGAACTGAATCAGTTCACAATATTCATAGAAAGTCTGTGTAGGCACAATCTGGATGAAAATGTTCTTATATAATAGACTGCGCGGTCATGCAAAGATTTGGAAACAACATCTTCTTGGTATGATTCAGCAAACAATGCACTGAGTTCAGGGCTAAAGTAAAGTGAGACTTATATATGAGATAAATCCTGCACCAAGAGCTTCTATAGAATAGAATAGCCATACATTTGTTGTAACATGAACAAATTAAACCTTTTTACAGAAAATACTGGTGGTAGTTGTTCTGACATTAAAAGATTTGATGTTAAAATTAAAATACACATAATGCTCTGATATTTCAGGTTTCTGGAAATGGTCACTTACCCGAGTATCTGACAGCTCCAAACTCTTTGTTAAACGTGGATCTGAAATATACAATTGATATCATATATAATATATATGTATCTATTAATGAAAAGATCACTATAGAGGAATAAACAAAAGATATGAATCATGGTAAACATGTGATCAATTACAAGACTGCTTAATTTACATACAAAACACAAGAAATCTTAGAAAGTCTTCATTCTGACACTCATAGTATCTTTCTGTTTCACATGAAACATGCTCTGATATTATGAGGCATATTCTGTGATCTGAGCACAACTGTCAATAACAGGGTTCGTACACCTTTTTCAAAATGAAATTCCCTGACATTTCCCTGACATTTCCAGGCAAAAAAGAAAATTTCCAGATCTAGTTTTGCTTGTTTTAGGCCTCCCTAAAAAGTCGCGAACAACTATCGTTTAAAAGACAAGAATTATTATGAAACATTTTGGGCGTCTCCTTTAGTAACATTTCCTTAACTTTGACTTAGCTTTACTTCTACAGGCCGTCTTATTCACAACTTGATATATTATGTTTTTCATTTTACATATTTTACGTTGCATAAGGCCAAAGGTAAACATACATGTACAGGGGCGTAGCAAGCAAACGTCAAGGGGATGCAAGTTTCGGGATTTGCATCATGCGAGCGAAGGAAACCCAAGGGGGATTAGATGAACCCCCAGAAATTCACATTGTACCAGGTCGTTCAATAAGTTCTCATAATTTTGCTCTCATTTTAAGAGTTTTTTATATTTTTCCATGAAAACTTCACAGACGATGCAGAATGTATCTGTGTAACAACTCTGCAAGGATTATGTATTAATTCTAATGGTTGTGGAAATGGCGGTTGCTATAGTAACGTCAAAAATCGGTAGGCGGGGCAACTTTATTTGATCGTAAAATCCATGGATGTAGTTAGATTTCATCTTGAAATGTCATATGTTTTATCTGAAAGATTTGCAACCATAGAAACAGGTTTTGACATCAGTGTGAAAGATGCAACTTTTCTGAGTATAGTTATTACTGTGACATCACATAAAAAGGTATGACATCACAGATAAGGTTTCAATAGAGAGACCCAAGATGGCAGCTGACTGTGGTCTTGTGAAAAGTCAAGATGAAATTCAAATTCAAATCCGTAGTGTGATAAGATTTTGTGTGTTATCCAAGAAATCAAGAGGAGAAACAATAAAAGCAGTTCAAGATATTTATGGAAAGGAGTTAATGAGCACACCTACCATATACCAATGGTATCAAAGGTTTGGTTCAGAGGGAAGAAAATCTGTGATGGATGAAAAACGGACTGGCAGACCGGTAAAAGTCACCAACCCAAAGGCTGTTGAAAGAGTTAAGACAGTTCTAGATGATGATCGCCGCATCTCTGTACGGGAACTTAGTGAGAATGTGAACATTAGTATAGGTAGAACACACTTCATTCTGAAAGAGAAGCTTAAAATGAACCTCATGTGTGCTAAATGGGTGCCAAAGGAGTTAACTAGTGACCAGAGAGCCCGCAGAGTTGAGGTTTCCCAAGAATTTCTAAGACGATACCAAGATGAAGGGGATAGTTTTCTTCAACGAATTATCACATGCGACGAGGTGTACGTCAGCTATTATGAGCCCCTTGGGAAGAGAGCATCAAGTGGTTGGAGAACTAAGAACTCACCTACTCCCATTTCAACCCTGGCAAAACTGACCAAAAATGACGGCAAGGTGATGTTCATTGTGTTTTTGGATAGCTCTGGGGTGCTGCTTACGCATGCAATTCCTGATGGTCAGAGAATAAACAAGGACTATTATGCAATGGTAAGCTTATTCATTATTAATAAATTAATCAATATAAGAGTAAAAACATTAAATCAAATCAAATTTAAAATCAGATTTGAACTATAAAAATGGTTAAGTACAAATGTTAAAGGCATTAGTATCCTATCCTACTGACTATTTCAGGTTCTCAAGAGGCATCTCAAACGGGCCTTCTCAAAGAAACGCCCCCTCCTAGAGTTGGCGACAAGAATATTTCATCAGGATAATGCCCCGTGTCACCGGGCAGAACTTGTACTGAACACCATAGGAGAACTCGGAATGGAAGTTCTCCCACAGGCACCATATTCACCTGATGAAGCCCCATGCGACTTTGGCGTGTTTGGCCGAATGAAAGATGAGCTGAGAGGTTTTCGATTTGCATCGACAGAAGATTTGCAGAATGCAGTCCAAAATGCTCTCAGAGCTAGATTTCCTGATGGATTCCATAAAATCTTCCAGGATTGGGTAGAACGTCATCGAAAGTGTGTCGCATCCAATGGACATTATTTTGAGCATTTAAAGTAGGAATAGAAACATTTACCCCATACTATTTCATGGGATAAATGGGACTACATGACATTAAAACACTTGTTACTCTCCACAATGTTGAACTGAATTATATGCCACTATGACGTCAAATAATCTGCCCCGCCTACCCATTTTTCATGTTACTATAACAACCGCCATTTTCACGACCATTAGAATTAAAACTTAATTTTTGCAGGGTTGTTACACAGATACATTCTGCATCGTCTGTGAAATTTTCATGGAAAAATATAAAAAACTCTTAAAATGAGAGCAAAATTATGAGAACTTATTGAACGACCTGGTATATGGTGCATTCTATCCATTTCAAACTATAAAATGTTAATAATAATAATAATGTTTATAATTTGCAAACCAAATGAAACTTGAAGTTGTTATCTAGCCATGGATCATGAATTATACACTTTTACTTGAATAAAATTTGTCAACAGCGTCCCACTTAAACATGTGGTGTGCCATGAGAAATAAGTATAATTTGCAAAATGTTCCTGAACTGATACGGCCTAGTGATTGCCAAGCTAATATTCCTGATGCAAACCCCAGTGAATATAGGGTATAGAAAGGTCTCTAAGAGATTGTATGAAGGCATCCAATCTAGAAAATTGCTCAACTAAAGCTGGCAATTAAGACAGGTTGAAAACAAAAATTTAGCTAACATTTCATTGATACTGCTATATCAGCAATGCGACTAAAACTAAAATATATCATCAAATATTACATTGCATTATTACTAAGAACCCCTAGCACTATATAACTACAAAATTTGGGGTATGTAGGTTGGAAAATAGAAAAAGTTGCAGTGTCTTGAAAAAAGTGGCGTTTTATTGGCCCACCCTGTATATAGTGCATTCTAAGCATTTCAAACTATAAATTTTGTGATGAATCCAAATGACAACTGAAACTTCAAAATTTTGAGCAACTCCCTTGAGGGGCAAGTCCCACCTGATGAAACATATTTTATTGAATACTGATCATTATGAACATTATATGACAGCAATAATCTGGCATTGCTATTGTCTTCTCCCTTTTGGGAAAATCTATACCAAAACATGATATCAAATTAAAATTCCTTCTTAAGTAGCGTCACAATAAGGCACAGACCTACCAACTCAAATAATCAGTATTTGTGTTATCAGGAACCATATTTCTTTAAATCAAAAAATTTAATAATAAAAAAATAGTGGCATTTTCAATTTAGAGACCATCTTGAATATTTCTTCTTGAGCAGAGGTCATTTATCCCTAAGGCATCGCCATATGAAGCTTGAGCTAAAGTAAAACACTTGGTTCATCTTTACATGAAGAAAGGTTCTTATTTTGATTCTGGGTTATTTCCTTCTCTTCCCATGAAATTTTGGCCCTATAAAACCAAAGTATAAACAAATTTGAACCAAATCTGTCAACTGATATTTGAGTTATCGCCCTGACAGATGAATAGACTTACGTATGATCGGACTGCCGAACAGACAGCTTCTCAATATATAGTTTTATACTGTAAAGACAAGTTCCCAGAATTATTTTTGCTTTTCACCTCCCACCATCCTCAGGTTAACCCCTCAACAAAACATGAAACATATACCACTAATTTTGATCCTAGGACTAACTTTCAAGCATAATTGTATTGAACCATCATATATGTTCTTTATTGTTTGGTTTCATTATAATGTTCATACTGTTCTTACAAATAGAATGTGATTCAATCAACTCTAATGAAAGATTTCTAATTTGTGAAAACAACTAAATGTTTAGTTAGATTTTGGACTTCATTGATATCCTGTCATAGTCCTAAAATGTATTTTACTGGAACATTAATTTTCAACACTGATACAAAATTCCCTGACATTTCCCTGACACATCTACTGTTTCAAAATTCCCTGACATTTTTGGCCCTTTTTGACCCAATTTTAAAATTCACTGACATTTCCAGCACCTGGAAAAATAAATCAACTTCCCTGACATTTCCAGGTGTGTACGAACCCTGAATAAGTGTGATAACCATCATGTAATTATTTACCTTAATACATTACATAATAGGCATTGTATTTAACGTCAGATCTTAAAACAGGCACATTTACACAAGCTTTATCCTCAATTTTGGGCTCTCCTAGATCGCCAAATTTAACATCATGGCATCTCAGGGCTGAGAAGAAATGAGATGTCATGGTTTATCATGATGGAAAGTCTTAGAATACAGGTCTGAGAGGCACTAGTTAAAGGCAGAATCAGATCTATGGGGGTGACAAAATTACAAGCAACATCAATTGACGTACCAATCTATTCCTTACAATCTTAAATACAATATCTCCCAAAAGATTCATGATATGTTATAAATTGATGAAGTTATAATAGATTAAAAGTGCAAAAATGGGTGAAAAATGTTTAAATTCTCCAAAATAATAAGAATGGTAACCATTCTTTAAGAAAAATAATACATTATTGTAAAAATCCTCAGTTTTCCTGAAATAAAGTGTGCACTTAAGGGATTTTTAGAAAATAGACATGAAAGGGAATGACATAAGCCAGAAATATTCTAAAATTGAAACAATTTTTTTTTAGGCTGCTTGCTAGATCTGATTCTCTCTTTAAAAGATGGAGTAAGAATAGAAATGCAATGAAATGAGAAATTAAAGAAGACAAGATATGGTAGAAAATAATGGAAAAAGGAGAAAAACTCAACGAAACTGTAAATGCCAATAACATAATCACATTACTAAATCATGATATAAACATGATAAATGGTTAAATGAAAAATGCTTAACAATAACAAAATGTAGAGGATGCATATTTTCATTATATGCAGTAATGATGTCAAGAAAGAATTTTTATGCTACAATTTCTTATAAACTAGACATTACCTTAAGTACTGACATTAGACATACAAGCACCTTGAGGTGTAATTATTATTCTAGGCATGGCATTCCAGCTATTTACAAGAGGCCTTTACCTTTAAATTTGTTTATACTAGACATACCATAAGGTTCATTTAAAACCATTCATATTAAACATACCTTGGGGTTCATTCTTACGTAATTGTGCTATGTCATTGGTAAGTGTGATATGTCTATGTAGCTTCAGTCTACGCCCTGGTAACATATATAGGAATACTGTATTGTCAAGAATGACAAACAAAATTCAAATTATAGTGCTTAAAGGTGTATCTAGGGAGAACCATGCACAAAAAGAAGAATCAAGCAAATATGCCCCAAAAGAAGTAAATGTCATACTATATTAGAAGAAAAAAGTTACAAAGGTAATTATGTACATGTATCCTGATAGTCTCCTTTTGATAAATTGAAATGTTTGATTGGTTCATCAAATACCAGATGAAGATTCTGATATTTCGACTTCCATTTCTTAAAGATAAACAATGGGAGATCATCATCTTTGTTTCAAAAGTATCTTGAAATGTCATAAATAATACATAAACTGATGAATGTGACTAAGTACTCTAGTAATCAAATCATATACCAAAATATTTTGAGCATCATGATTACATAGATTATATGTGCAGGCCAGGGCGGGCCAAATATTGTAATATATTTTATGGATTTATATGTGGTATAGTCTGCCAGGAATATAACACTACTGTGAAGATACAGTATCATATTTTGTTCAGTATTTGAAGAAGTTGAACAAAGCAGTTGTTACAGAGAATAAATGTAAATAAAATATGATGAGTGATTGGATAGTAGACAGACAGTGAAAACAGATAAATGCATGTAATGTAAGGATGTCAGTGTGACAAATCAATAACAGATTATAAATAATGGAGAAGGTGTCAGTATATAGTATATACTCCAAGGTACATTTGCTGAATGCCATGCAGATTGGCCTTTTACTTCCTTATACTCATTTTTGATACTAGGTTCATCATTACAATATGAGTTGCTTACCAGAGGGGTATCTGTTTGGGGCACCAGCTCCAGGTTTACCATAGGGGTCTTCCTTTAACTGAAAGATAAAAGCCATATTCTTGTAAAGCTCTGTGATACTGTCTACATGTTACACTTTATTGTACAACATAAAACATTCCCTCACTCTAAACACATTCTAGCTTTTGAATAACATGTATTGTTCAAAGTCATGTCTTACTTGGAGATCTTTCATCTGCAGATCCTTTACACTCAAATCTGTTATTGTTTAATAAACCAATTTTCTGAGAGAGAATTCCTCAGTTAGGGGCGGGGTCAAAATATCAATGTTCATATGGAGACGAAAGTAATTTCGTTTGGACAACAACCCCCCCCCACCCCCCCTCTAGACGAAAGCTTAGGTCACTTAAAAAAAACATTGATTTAACACACGTTCGCAATTTAACTGCATTGAACTCTTCAAAAGGAGGAGGGAAAAGTACGGAATTTATTTGAAAAATGATCGAATTATCGTCTTTATCTACCAATATTTTGGACCTATCACACAAAAAAGCTCACGAACTATTGAAAACAAGCCTTTTTATCAGAACATAGCGCCAGAAAAAGTGAAGAAAAAGTGGGTAAGTCAATTATTTTTTGTATATCAGATCCGAATTATCGATGTTTTTTTGGTCAACGAAAGTGCCCAAAAACCCCCTCCCCCCCTCGCGAAAGTACTTTCGTCTCCATATGAACATCAATATTTTGACCCCGCCCCTTACTAAAAGTAAATATCATTTCTTCTTGCATAGTAAAAATAGATTAACAAAAGTTTGCATTAAAGCATGTATTTCAATGTAAACTTAAAACAGTCTACTCAATGAGCAAGTGAAGTTGTATTGCTCTAGCACATTGGGTACCATGAGTTACCATAGACTTTGTGGATAGATCTTACAATTTACTCTTGATATGATTTTAATCTGCAAATACTTTTATGAACAACTAGGAGTGGATAAATATCACATCGAGAGTAAATCAAATGAGTTCTTTTTATTCCATAGTTAAATTGTGTTATTCATATTAATATATAATCAACATGTAAGAGTTCTTAAAACCTATTTTGCATAGAACATTTGAAGATCACATCTGATAGTTCAGAAGTGTATTTATTAGTTTGGTGAAACTAATTTACAAATGCAATATGTTCCTACTTGTTTTAAAAACATAATTTTTACTTTGGCACAATATTCTTTGAATTGCCACATTAACTATGGAATTAGGTGATAAATATGAATATTATAATAAAAATAGAATGATGCATATTCATAACACCACTTTAAGTCTATAAGCAATTAAGCTACAACAGAATTATTATCTCTATATGCTATCATAGATAGCAACAGACCTAGGTGTTCACAGAACTCAAAGTAGATAAACACAGTGATAAAATTGCACATCGAGGATCAAAATGGCCACCATGTTATTTACCCAGCATGCCCAAAAAATATCAAGGCATTAACATGTCAAAATGTCACCACCTTGTTGCTCACAATATTATGAGTTCAATCTTAGTCAGATTTGAATTTCTTAGAACTTGTAGATGATTTTGAAATAATAAATTGGTCAATTTGAAGCAAATTGTAAAAAGACCTTTTTTGACCCTGAGAAGGCCATTGAAGGTGGAATCTCAAATCTAAAGTCAGATTTGAACTTTTGAGAACTTGTAGATGATTTTGAAAAAATGGTCAATTTGGAGCAAGATGAAAAAATACCTTTTTGACCTTGAGAATGTCATTGAAGGTCAAATCTATAGTCAGATTTGAACTGTTGAGAACTTGTAGATGATTCTGAAAAAAGGTCAGTTTGAAGCAAGTTGAAAAAATACCTTTTTTACCTTTTCAACCTTGAGAAGGTTATTGAAAGTCAAATCTCAAATCTAAAGTCAAATTTGAACTTCTGATAACTTGTAGATGATTTTGAAAAAAGAAATTGGTCAATTTGAAGCAAGTTGAAAAAAGACCTTTTTGACCTTTTTTTGACCTTGAGAAGGTCATTGAAGGTCAAATCTTGATTCTAAAGTCAGATTTGAAATTCTGATAACTTGTAGATGATTTTGAAAAAGAATTGGTGAATTTGAAGTAAGTTGAAAAAAGACCTTTTTGACCTTGTGAAGGTAATTGAAGGTCGAATCTCAAATCTAAAGTCAGATTTGAACTTCTGATAACTTGTAATTGATTATGGAAAAAAATTGGTCAATTTGAAGCAAGTTGAAAAAAGACCTTTTTGACCTTTTTTGACCTTAAGAAGGTCATTGAAGGTCAAATCTCAAATCTTAAGTCAGATTTGAACTTCTGATAACTTGTAGATGATTTGAAAAAAAATTGGTCAATTTGAAGAAAGTTGAAAAAAGACCTTTTTGACCTTGAAAAGGTCATTAAAGGTCAAATCTTAAATATAAAGTCAGATTTGAACTTCTGGAAACATGTAGATGATTTTGAAAAAAATTGAAGTCAGTCTAAACAGTATTTGTTAAGTTATTGGAACAATATGTCACCAGTTTTTGGTGATGACATAATGAGATCATGGTACTAGTCTGCTCTTGCATCTGTCAATATTATCAGTTGACAATGAGCAGTTCTCTTGATGACAATTTTGATGAAAAAATTTATGTGGCACCCAGTTGCCCACCCGCACACACAACAGCACAAGATAAGCACAATAAATCACTTTGTCAAAGTACAATTAGAAACATTTGACCAACTAATTTGCATCATTTATTCATCATCCATGTGCATACATGTATCTTCCTAGAAAGTCATGGATATAGCAGCTAACAGCATTCTAGGGTTCTATAAACTATAAAAGCCTCTAATAAGCACTAGATTTGCACTTACATCTGGAGTTTTTATTATATTCTTTTGCAGCTAAAATTATGAAACATTAGATCAATTAAAAACGTTTGTTTCCCAAAAAGAAAGATTTCCAGGCCAAATACGAGCAGATATAATATATCCATCCCGCTCCTAGGAATTTTTCAAAAGTTTAAAAATTTAAAATTTAAAGTCTTAAACTTTAAAAGTTTAAATGTTTCAATTTCATTGTATTGAACGAAAGGAATATTACGAAAATGTTAAATATAAATTGTGCTTTTACAGTATAGGCCTATCTTGTCATTTGAAAAGGTGGAACCCCAAACCCACTCAAGTATGAGATACACCAGTTAGGTACGGTCAGCTTTGGATATAGGGTATATCCCTCGGGAAATATCTATATCTCCCCTTGGTCCCTTTTATCCAAAACCTCCCAGTACACAACCCTTATATAAATACTTTCTTTGATATATAAGTATTACTGTATATTTACACTTGTACATGACTTTTTCCATATTTTAACTAATGTAGTAATGTAAAATGTTTATGTACATAATTAGGTCATGCTAAATGTAAAACCACACGAGAGTGTGACTTTAAACATCATTTTTTTTAATATGAATCAAAAGACTGCCTTCAAATTAAAAGTTTCCTAATAAAGATAAAGACTATTCTTTTTACAAATCATATATATAACAAATTGTTCCTCGAATTCTATTAAGTACCATAAAGGCAATAAATTAAATGTTTATGGACAGGTTTTGCCTTTAAATGATATGATGACCAAGTTCTACGGGATAAAAATCCATCAGTTTTGACTTTATTTCAGGGTAACCTTCAATATCTTTAATATGTTTAATTTTGTTAAAAAATATAAAAAGTGGACATCCCCTTTTTCAAATCTAGTGAGTTTGAACATTTGAATAACTTCTATATTTTATCAGATATCTCAATTCTTCATCTCAACTTGTTTTGTGTAAAATGGCCATTTAATTTTGACCATTTGGGATAGATCAATGAAACTTGGTAGAATGAAAGAACATTGAACGAACTTAAGATTAATTGTGCTAAATATGCCTTTAAACCCATGCTGAATGACTGAGTTATTAACATTTGTTTGGGTTACCTTTTTTTGGCTCACCCTGTAGTACTTCTTTTAAATGCTACTAATAAGTAAATCTTTACATATTTGTAATTGTAAATGAACAACATACCATCATAAGCTCTGTGCGGAGATCATTCAGTTTCTCCTCCTGTTCTTTATAAGCCTTCTCCTGAATTTGATGGTCTGCAAAAGTTGAAACAACACAATATTAAACAACAGTAAGGAAAATTATACATCCCATGATTTACAATACCTGACAGATGGAAACATGCCAAAAAACAAATATCTCGTCCTCATACTCAATTTCACCTCGTGCCAATACAGAAATTTTTGAGCAAAACATATCCTGAATTGCACTTCAAATCATTCAATAACTTATAGTATACAGGGATTAGAAGAAACAAACACAGGAATTAAAGAATATGTACCTAAGTCTTTGTGATACTGTTCTCTCTGTTCAGGACCTTTGATGTAGCGCACTCGTTCTTCTATGGTAGCCCGACCTTTCTGTGTATCCATAAACCGAATAGTTGGATCTCCAGGTATCTCTGTCTTCAACCTGCCAGACTTTGTTCTCTGGGGAGCACCATTGCCTGGTTTGCCAAAGTTATCATGGAAATCCTAAAAAAATATTAGGACATATATCTTTTTTGAATCTCTAATGGTATATTGATCACTACAGTGACTACACTGACTACAATTGCCGAGAAAAACAGCATAACAAAAGGTATAAATATCAGTGTGATGTATCGTTGGTACAATATCATTACAGTTTTTGAATGAATAATAATTGCTACTTACAAATGGTATAACAAAATGTTGCTTATCTTCTAAAGTACCATAAAGGTAATAAATTAAATGTTCATTAACAGATTTTGCCTTGAAATAATGTAATAACTAAATTCTATGTATAACTTGTGTGAGCTACTCTAATCTGCAAATGATACCTTGCAAAGAAAAATAATGAAAAGTTTTTAAACAAGGGCCAGCTCCCTAATTGGAATTGTTTACTTGGTGCTGTGCACAAGACTGGTTATAAAAAGGGTACAATGGAACACCTCACAAGTGGATATTTTTTGGCAGAACCAAAGGCGTTCCAATTCTCCATTTCGCTGTTCGCTCTTTGAATCAGAACGTTCGCATATATGGTGCATATATGTACTCAAAAAGGACAAAATTTGATTGGTCAATATTTTTCAACGATGCATTTCGTGTAGCTATTTGTGAGACCCGAAAGTTCTAAATCAAATTAATTACGCAATTTTGTTTTTACACCCGCAAGCTAAATAAAAAAATGACACCATCGGAATTCTTCTTCTTTGTCATTGAATTAATAGTCAGTATACCAGATTTAATCAATAAAAGATTATACAATTAACAACAAAATTCGGAAACGAGTATGTAAGATTTGCTTTCGAACCACTAAACTTGACCTAGATAATAGCGACGTGTCTTCTTTGGTCAAATGCTCAGTTGTTTGTGGGTTTTCAACGTAACTCTATAATGTAATATGAAGATGAGTACTTTTATTCAGTTGTTGCATCGATGTTACAGTTTGTAGTGCGGTAATATTGGCATGAACGTGTTGAAAGTCGAATGGAATTGCTTTTTCCAATATGGCGACTAGTCACGTGACTTCTTCTCTTCCGGAATATACTCCCATTTTCAATCATTGTTTTCACCCCGTTAGGAGCCAATAAAATGAAAAAAAATATATGTTATATAAAGATTATTAAAAGACTAATTGTTTCTGATAGTTTGTTTTCTCCGATCGCATGGAGATTCGATCGAAAATATCGCTTGAAAAATGGGTATGAAAATCCCCATGTTAAACCAACGGGGAAAAACAAGGTAGAAAAATTTTGTTCCCCCGCGAACTGCATCATGGGAAATTTTTTGACCTTATAAGGAAAAACTTTCGCGCCATCTTTATTAGAGATTCAATACTACCGAATCCGCGATTTTAAGAATTGCACAGATTTTACTGTACATGCATTTACACTTACACTATGTCCACTATTACTTGCTTCGTCGGATTCCAGCATTCTAGTTTTCTTGTTCAGATCAATATTGCTACCTTTGGGAGCCCCATGACCAGGCTTTCCCCAGGGGTTGTAGTTCTGAAGCATGGCTAGGTCCTATAGAGGAACAACACACAACTAATAAATGAACTTCAATGAACCATTGACTTACAGGTGCTTCCTTTTCAAAATACTTGATGTAAAGTAACAATTAATTGCATTTCAATAAAGACAGACATGGACATACTGTCCTTGTTGCTATTCAGCCCTGTAACGATGATCTGCTTACCTTTTTTCTCTCAGCTACCATTTGCTGCTGTTTTAGCAGTTTTTCTTGCTTATATTGCATGATATCAACCTCTGCTGCAGCCATTTCCTTCCGTGCTTTCCTCAACTCTGCAGAACTGCAAATATTAAGTGTGAGAAATATTCAATGTTTCATCTTGGGCATGATGACTTCAATGTGTATAATTGATATTTGATTTTTCAAAACAGTCCATCAAAATTCCTGACATAAATAAATGTCCAAATTTTAAAACCAAAAGACAACAATCTAGATCTCTAGCAATCTAGCAATTAGAAATCCTGGAATCTACAAATTTAGATGAAATTATAATAAAGAAAACTTCATAAGACCATTAAGCATTTATAGGCCCCTTTATGTATTCCCCTCAATCTCTCAAGTGAGAGGTGAGATAGAGGAGATGGCCATATATAGGATCATAATGCAAGTCTAAAAAAATGAACAGCCTTAACTACAAAAACACTCACTTTTTCTCTTGTAATGGGTTTCTGATGGGTCTTGGTTCTGTAGTGGGAGGTCTGGGTGAGTTTATGTCAGTACCATACAGAATTCCCTTGTGCCCAGTATCTATTGTAGGCTTGTTTACATCAAAAACATGTTTCTTAGCAAAGTTTTTATGCAAATCATTGGGTAATGATTTTGATAATGGGTGCTTTGTTCCAACAAAATGTTCCTCAGGGAAGCCTCGATATCGGAAATTGTTTTCTTGTTGTATTTCCTCCACTGAGGGGTGGTAATGTGAAAGATCTCTGGGTTGAACTAAAAGTAGAAGTCATGCAAGCAAATGAACAATAATTACTAACAAGGCAATTACCATGACAAATTGTCATCATCTGTGAACAGTTCCAAATGTATAACAATTTATTACAGATGCCTGCTAATGCCAAACTTTGAATGCCAATCATTAAAAACAGTCACTAGAACAATCTGTCATCACTTCTTGCTCTGGGTGCATAATAATAATAATGAAATTATATTTACATTTAAAATACATTTCTGTTGCTTCATTACAATTTCATAGAAATGCCAATTGAATGTACATGTATGTTGAAATATTTTCAGGCCATAATTCTCCTTGCATATATTACATGATATATTCAGCAAAATTCAATAAAAGACATACATGTACAACAAAAATGGAACAATTCACACACGCAATTTCCTTATTCAAACATCTAAAACATTTACCTCCCTCGACTCTATCGAATTCCTATAGACTCCAGTAACAATACATTGATTACTTCCAACTTTAGGCATATAGTACAACATAGAAATCTCTGAATATGTATAAGTTGGTGCTTTATTTGGTTACTATATCAACAGATCAACATTTTCCAAAGATAACAAGTAATAGACTGATTGGAATTGCATGTCATAACGTATTTCTAATTAATTAATCAATATGATGTAAACTCTTCTATTGTAATACCATTTCTCCAGTTTTACAATATAGGGACCACATTGATAAGTAATTAGCAGAGAATAAATGAATGTTTACTTTGCCAATTGTTAGACAAAAGAAAACTGGACTTTTCAAAATCATTCTGATTTTCCATTTAGTGATCATTATATCTTTAATAGGAAATGAATATTTACTTCAATACTGTATATTTTCTTCTATACTGAACTTCAGTCTAAATATTTCAATTACTTAGGACTATGCGTTTTGCTTAAACCCAGAGCATTGTACCACTTAACCTTCAATAGAAATGTTGAAAATATCAATACTGTGACATTTACCTCATTTTGAGCCCCATAACCATGTTGCCTCACCTGCAATATGTAATCACACACACTGACTCATGCAGTCAAACAAACAGAAATTTACCTTGATAGATAAATTAATCTATTAAACTAAGTCTAAATATCCAAAAGTCAGCAAAATAGCTAAGGAATGGATATTTCCTTCACTTTGAGTACCATATAGCCATGAAGTCAATATCCTATGGCTACAATATCCACACAGTCTAACCAACAAAACTCACACAAAGTTGATAAATCGATGAACCACAGGTTTTCTAAAACCCTATGATTAATCCTGAATCTAAATTCTAATTAATTCTAAATTACAGGTAGAAGTCAGCAGATGTGAACATATACTTTAGGAGCACACTATACCTAGAAAGCTTAAGCAACAAAGTACACAAAAAATTAACTTTGGCTTCTCAATTGTACCTCTGAGAGTTCCGTCAAATGTTGTGTTCTGGGGACCAGGAATAAGTCCTACTAAACTTTTCCAATGATTATCACGAAGTTTTTGACATCTTAAAGTGACTGGATCATCGCCATAATATCGCTAGTAGAAGTAAATAAAGAATCAACAGGTTACTGGTTGTAGTTGCCATCTGACTAGAGTTAAGCCTTTTGTAATCTTATAAAACAACATTGTATGAATTTATACTTATATTTAGTATTGTGTTCCCTTTACATATTACATCACATAACATTATTCCACAATACAAGTATTTTCATGGCATTAGCTAGGAATAAAAATTAATGTCTGATATATAATTCTCAAGATGTATTTCATGAATCTCTTTCAAGAACTGTTTTAAGAAATATAATAAAGTCAAACAACCCACCATGCAAAGTTTTTTAATTTTTAATATGACCATGGTAGATTAATGCTCTCATAAGATTATGCTTTGAATTTAAATAACCTTTATGAACAGGATCAATGATTTATTATATAACATTAATGTAAATACATTTTCTATATTTCTAATAGGCTGATTTAAACATAAAATCCTATATTTTTTCAAAAAATATTTTACTTACTTAAATTACCTAATGCATATGTAATCTAAGTTGTAAAGCAATCTTTATTAATAATATCAAACTAATTGAAGATTTTGAACTTGGAAGAAAGTGATAGAGGAACTGATTCAAAAAGAGGTAGGCTAATTAACAACATAGAATTAACAGAAATAGAATAAACAGGTAAAAGTGCAAGAATCTAGAGGCCTTATGCAATAACATGCATGTACTGGCATCCCAAATATCCAACAACACATATAAGTTGAGTCAGATCAGTCAATATAATGGCTCAGTTCACAAAAATGAGCATTCGAGTTTTATCAAGCTATCAATTGCAAGGCTATCTAGTTGAAACTGTACAATACTGAATCTAATAAGCAACATTTAGAATTAATTAGAAACCTACCGTTCTAACCATTTCTAATTTTCTTATATCATATTTTACTCTGTTTGCCCTGAAATAAACAACTGAAACTTTTACGACATAATTCTATGATATTTGGAAATTTTAGAAACTTGTCTGAAACAAAAATGGCGGTCATAAAAAGGAAAATAGATCGCTTTTCAAAGATTGCATCATTTAGAGCAATATATTGGGCACATTTTCTGAAAAATTCAAAAGATTCTGTTCAGTGACCTTTCCTTACTATATTTGCACATAGCCATCTTTAGATAGATCTCTCAGGAGATAGCTTTGTGTAAACTAAGTAAACCTTTCCCACCTCCTACTTTTAGCTATTTTTCAGTCACATTTTCAGAGTGCTGAAAGGTTATTTCATCATGTTTAGGGTCATTCTGACCATGAACATTGTGATCCTGGACCTGTAAATGGTATGTGGAACTAGTTGAATTGACTGGAGGTCAAAACAGAACTCTGTTATCTTTGTTCAAAAAATGTCTAAAAATGCAAAAGTTTTTGTCAATTCCTGTTTTGTATTACACATTAAAATAACGTTTTTGACGTAGCATTGCATTACTTCTCTCCTTTCACACATCACTGACAGGCATAGTCTTTAATTCATGCTACTGCGATTTGCATGGCAAGTCACATGCTATCTATTGCAAGACTTACGCCTGCCACAACCGTCGCCATGTTAATCAGTGTTTTTTAAGTAGCGCAAGGATGCTGTCATGACCGTGGTAGTGTTATCGTGTAAGCCTGGTATAACCGTGACAGGCTGGTATAACCGTGACAATGCTGTATTCTATTGCAAGGCCTGTCATGACCCTGGAAGTGTTATCGTGGAAGCCTGGCGCGACCGTAGCCTTTATTGTGGTTTATAAGCGAATGTGAATATTAATGTATAGTAGTAATTTTGATTTTGACATGATTAAGGTAGTTAAACACCATGATCATAGTATTAAACTGTTTAATTGTAATGGGGATCACTTAAAATTGTTAAGGATATTCCTGGCATTAATGTCATACATATTTACTAGTCATTGCAATACATCATAACGGTCATAGTAGAACTAAGGCTAAATCTCTACATTACCACCCTCATACCTGGCCTTGCAATACTATATTACATTGTCACGGTCATACCAGGCTTTGCGATCCCATAATACATTGTCATGGTCATGCCAGGTTTTCAAATACACATTGTCACGGTCAATTATAGCAATCATAAATTTCTACATTACCACTCTCATACCCGAACTTGGAATACTATATCACATTGCCATGGCGGTCATACCAAGCCTTGCAATACTATATTACATTGCCATGGTCATGCCAGGCTTTGCAATACACATTGTCACGGTTATAGCAGTCCTAATCGTAAATTTCTACATTACCACTCTCATACCTGAACTTGCAATACTATATTACATTGTCACGGTCATGCCAGGCCTTGCAGTACTATATTACATTGTTACGGTCATACCAAGCCTTGCAGAACTATATTACATTGTCACGGTCATGGCAGGCATTGCAATATAATACAGCATTGTCGCGGTTATACCAGGCTTTCACGATAACATTACCACGGTCATGGCAGGATCCTTGCGCTACTTAAAAAACACTGAATAACATGGTGACGGTTACGCCAGGTGTTAGTCTTGCAACAGATAGGGTCTCTGGCAAGTAGACATAAAGTATACCTCCACCACTGGATCTACTTCCGGTTACCCCCATAAATGTGAGGTTATTTTGAGTTTTTTTTATTATTTTTGATTTTTTTTCTCAAAATAACCTCACAAAGCTTACTTTGTTGATTCTACGGGGATTTTTTCTTGAACGCCCATGGTAGAAGACATGCTAAATTTGTACTAAAATAATCAAATTTTATAAACTTTTTTATTATTTTCGTATCGACAAGACATTAATCATCAACTTGCTACAAAAGATAGCCCTCGAAATAATCTATTAATTCTTTTAATGACGATCTAGTACGGATAACAGAAATTTCTCAAACATTTTCAATTTTGTACTTTCCTTCCAATTTTGCAAATTACTCCCGTTATAAAGCATCGTTTCGACTGATAGATCGCTCATTACATTGGAAAAAGAATCATCTTTACAGAAGAGAAGAAAAAAGGTAAGGGAACTGCTGATATTGTTCGGACTTGAATCTTCAAATCATGTAAACAATTCCCCAAAGAATCAATATAGTAAACTTTGTGAGGTTATTTTGAGAAAAAAAATTCAAAAATAATAAAAAACGTCAAAATAACCTCACATTTATGGGGGTACTTCCGGTAAGCCTGATGAACTGATGAGTGATGTTTCAAAAACACATTTTCTTCATCATACACTACTTTACAAATACTTACCATTGTATTCCAGCTTCCAGGGGCCTCGGTTAGGGTCCACCATCCGCCTGGCGCTCCGCATTTTGTTAAGGTGGCCCCAGATTTAACTAATTTAACGTTTCACCTGATCAAAATTCATTTTGAGCTCATTTGTTGAAGTAATTGTCATGGCGCTGCAAACAATTGGATTTGGGAAACGACAGGGTAGAATGGCTTACAGAAAACAATATGTATATGATATTAATTTTCGGCTACACTGTTTTACTGATTTATAAATTTTTTGAATTAATTTTATATATCATTGAACATATTTATGATGTTGAGTCAAATATCGACAGAGGATGAATACATTATATTTCGGAAACGATTACTTTTAAGTCTCAAAAATCTGACCTCGATAAACCGGAACCAAACCACAATGTACGCATGCGCATATGTGAGATTCCAGAATTAAACATTTTGAAAGTAAGTCTATGTTTTCTAGTTGTTTTGTTGTAAGTCGATGTATTTTCATCTTTCATTATCAATACAGCTCTCTAAATAGAATACATTTGGATCTATTTATGACACACATGTATCTTTGTCATCTTATTTTATATACCAAAACCTGAAGTCTGTAGACTACAATTAGACTATTCTTTTTATTCTGTGATTTGTGAACCAGTTCATTAGTTCAACAAGTTAAACCTAGTCTGGGCCTTATTTCTTATCTGACATATCTTGTGGCCCGCCCTAGGTTTAACTTCCGTGCCTATTCAGCCCTTGATGCAAAAATATTTAATGGTGGCCTATGGTTCCGCATGGAATTCGATGCGCGTTTAATTAATAACTGATGGTGGGAATTTGCAACAAACGAAAGCATAGCACGGAAGTTAAACCCAACCACGGCAACACGAACATTCAGATTAAAAAATGAAAGCCGTGGTATTGGGTTTAACTTGTTGAACTACCAGTTCATAAGATAGACTTACAGTTGGGGACAAAAATAAATGAAAGGTCGATTTTCGATCACCATTTCCTAATTATGGTGGTCTGAAAGCCCATAATTTCCAATATTGTCTAGATACATATCCCTTAAAATTTGTATATTTTACATTTTGTATAATCTCATCCACTGATTTATGGGCTGCGGTTCCATGTAAGCAGTCACGAGCTAAAATGTCACGGCACTTAGCCATTTCTAACCATGCAACATGTATACTGTACATTGCTACACATTGCTACACTGTGTCAAGCACCTATACATAGGCTGGAAAGCGGGGTAAACGGGGTACATATCCTTACCTGTATACTCTACATTGCTACACTGTGAGGCAGCTTCTACACATACCATGGAGGTGGGGTAAGCGGGGTGCATACCTTTACATGTATACTCTACATTGCTACACTGTGTCCAGCACCTATACATAGGCTGGAAAGCGGGGTAAGCGGGGTACATACCTTTACATGTATTCTCTACATTGCTACACTGTGAGGCAGCTTCTACACATACCATGGAGGTGGGGTAAGCGGGGTAAGCGGGGTGCATACCTTTACATGTATACTCTACATTGCTACACATTGCTACACTGTGTCAAGCACCTATACATAGGCTGGAAAGCGGGGTAAACGGGGTACATACCTTTACATGTATTCTCTACATTGCTACACTGTGAGGCAGCTTCTACACATGCCATGGAGGTGGGGTAAGCGGGGTAAGCGGGGTGCATACCTTTACATGTATTCTCTACATTGCTACACTGTGAGACAGCTCCTACACATACCATGGGGTAAGCGGGGTAAGCGGGGTACATACCTTTACATGTATTCTCTACATTGCTTCACTGTGAGACAGCTCCTACACATACCATGGGGTAAGCGGGGTAAGCGCCGTTTACATGTATTCTCTTCATTGCTACACTGTGAGACAGCTCCTACACATACCATGGGGTAAGCGGGGTAAGCGCCGTTTACATGTATTCTCTTCATTGCTACACTGTGAGACAGCTCCTACACATACCATGGGGTAAGCGGGGTAAGCGGGGTACATACCTTTACATGTTACATAGAATATATTAGTTACTACATTGTTTCAAGCTCCTACATGTATACATAAACACTGTACATTGCTACACTGTGTCAGGCACCTATACATAACCTGGGAAGCGGGATTAACGGGGTACATATCCTTATGTATATCTTATCCATATTAAATGATTTGTTTACACAATGTTGCATTAGTTGTGTGGATGTACACTAAAAAACTTACATTTTTTGGTTTTGGTTTGACTCCCAAATAACTATATAAAGTATGGACATTTATTTAATTTGTTTTTAATAAATAATCCTGTCTGGTTGTGATATAGTCATTTCACAGATACATCTACATAAAGCCTTGCCTGTGTATTTGTAATAATAACTAGTAAAAAACATTTCTTGAATATTGGGTACTTACTAAAGTGAATGAAGCTTATGTGTAACTATGTTTATTAAGAATGGTAATAAATTTAATTGTTATGAAGAATGTTGATATTATTCTTATAAAATGCACCTTTTACCAATGTATTCCTAGTAACCTTGCGTTGTGCGCCGTGCGTTAACATTTCATTGATTAAAAGTGCAGTTCATTTCCATTTTTATTTTTACCAGAATGACGTTAAAAACTGACACATCTTGAATATTATTTATTAAATTTTGTTGGTGAGGACGTATTTATTGTTATGTTCATAATGGGAGCCAGGACTCGTATAGATGGCAGTTAACTACTAGGTTGTTCTCTACAACTAGCCCATTGGTTAATGTGTAAATATTGCTGTTTTGAAACTTCAAATTCTCTGCATATATCAAATAAATATCATATTTTCCTTCATCATTATTTTAATTTACAAACATGTTTTAAGATTCACAATTAGAAGTTTGGGATATTTTCAATAAAATTTATCTGTGTCAATATCTATCTATCTACCTGTTATTTAATTCGTAAATACTTTAAAACACTAGAGAGATTTCGCACATAAGTGAAAGTACAACTTATACGTATACGTATACTTTAAAGGGTCATGTCGAACTATTATATTTACTAAAATCAATTTCAAATTGTACTTAATGGAACATAACTATTCCCGATATAGAAAAGCTCCATCAACTAGAAACTGTGAATGCACGTGTAGATTATGCACATTATACTTAAATGCTTACTTCCGTGTCCTAGTAGTTGTAGTGTATTATAAACACGATCTTTTAAAGTGAGTCATGATCCTTTAAAGCGTGTCATGACATAAACAAGTTGATTATTTCAAAGTTTTCATGATCAGTATAAGTTCAATGAACTTACAAAACCAACGGTATATATACGAGATGATCAACGTATACAGTTGGATCTCCGTATAAAGCTTTACCTGCATGTGTGTGGAACAATTGACCGCAAGCATTTTTTAAAAACAATTGGCTGAGTAGGAACAGTATCAAATCAAATACTTAAACCATCAATTTGAAACACCAATCAAACTAGTAGGTTCTAGCAATTCCTGGAAACGACCCATTCAGTAGCTCAACAAATGACATACAGGGTGTTTCATAACGAGCATCTCAAAAAGTAGTTGTCAAAAGGAGAGAACTGACCCACCCCTATTACATAACCCTTTGTTTTACTGTATAGTTCTATGAGGCGGTACCTTCTCATCCTAGAGAGGTCTATGGGGTGGTGCCTGTATAGCCTATATAACGCTATGGGGTGGTGCTCGCCTGTACAAATCAATGGGGTGGTGCCAGCCTGTATAACTCTATGGGGTGGTGCTCGCCTGTACAAATCAATGGGGTGGTGCCAGCCTGTATAACTCTATGGGGTGGTGCTCGCCTGTACAAACCAATGGGGTGGTGCCAGTCATGCAACAAAACCCTTTAACTTTATAAAAAACCAAAGAAACATTATGAGACCATTGCCAGGCTCGAACTCGCAACCTTCCGCTCAACAGCCGGACGGGTTATCCATTAGGCCATTGCTGCCAACTGACAATATCTGTGTAAATTGTAGTAGTGATACGTTAAGTAAAGACACGTGACTCAAACCTCCACGTGAGTCAGACGATCAGCTGCTGATATGTTGTTCAAACACAAGCCTGAAGGCTTCGACCGTTAATACTTAATTCACTTATCTATCGATCATGAATGTTTATTACATGTACACTTTATAATATACTAGTACAGTAACCTCAGCGTTTACGAAATATTGATCTAGTCTACATCCGCTAAGATGGATTGTATTTTCCAATATTATCCTCTTTCAAACATAGTTTTATATTTGAAATGGATTATTTATGTGATGATGCCAGAATGTTTATGAACATACCACAACATGGAAAGTATCAATTTAACACATATGGTTTAAGAGAAAGTAATAAAATACTTGATGTAGGAATTTTGGTCCCATCAGCTCAGGCTGCTCAGGCTGTTCATCTAAAACCGGAAGTCAGCCATTTTGAAGCTTTCTAGCAGGAAGTCGGCCATTTTGAATTCTGTCTGGGCAAGAGGGTGACATCATAGCGGAAGTGAGGCTTTCCAGCAGGAAGTCAGCCATTTTGAATCTATCCGGGCAAGAGGGTGACATCATAGCGGAAGTGAGGCTTTCCAGCAGGAAGTCGGCCATTTTGAATCTATCCGGGCAAGAGGGTGACATCATCGCGGAAGTGAGGCATCTTTGAGTTAGGGTTAGGGTTAGGGTTAGTATCCCCTCCCTACCTCCTCCCTACTCCCTCCCTACCTCCTCCCACTTCCTCCTTACCTCCTCCCTACCTCCTCCTTACCTCCTCCCACCTCCTCCCTACCTCCTCCTCCCTACCCCCTCCTTACCTCAGACCTCCTCCTACTTCCTCCCAACCTCCTCTTGCCTCTTCTCCATCTTCCAAACCTCCTCCCTCCCTTTACTTTAATATACAATAGTTTATAATGTCATCAATGCCTGTTTATATTTACAATTGATCTTAATTGACACATTTTGAACCAATCCAAATACTGCACTTTAGAATGTTCTTATATGGATAGAGAAGAGGCAAGAGGAGGTTGGGAGGAAGTAGGAGGAGGTCTGAGGTTAGGAGGCGGTAGGGAGGAGTTGGGAGGAGGTAAGGAAGAGGAGGGAGGAGGTAAGGAGGAGGTAGGGAGGAGGTAAGGAGGAAGTGGGAGGAGGTAGGGAGGGAGTAGGGAGGAGGTAGGGAGGGGATACTAACCCTAACCCTAACCCTAACTCAAAGATGCCTCACTTCCGCGATGATGTCACCCTCTTGCCCGGATAGATTCAAAATGGCCGACTTCCTGCTGGAAAGCCTCACTTCCGCTATGATGTCACCCTCTTGCCCGGATAGATTCAAAATGGCTGACTTCCTGCTGGAAAGCCTCACTTCCGCTATGATGTCACCCTCTTGCCCAGACAGAATTCAAAATGGCCGACTTCCTGCTAGAAAGCTTCAAAATGGCTGACTTCCGGTTTTAGATGAACAGCCTGAGCAGCCTGAGCTGATGGGACCAAAATTCCTACATCAAGTATTTTATTACTTTCTCTTAAACCATATGTGTTAAATTGATACTTACCATGTTGTGGTATGTTCATAAACATTCTGGCATCATCACATAAATAATCCATTTCAAAT